AGTCTACACATTTGGAAGATTTACATGCTGATCCAATAAGCAATATTAATTGCACACATTTTCACAGCAATTTTTTTTCCTTCTTCTATAAACACCACAATCATTTATTTCATCATTACATGAAACCAGCTTTATATATGCTTCGATATCACAATTTATTTTTTATTTTTGTAATTTCTTAATGAATAAGTTCTGATTAATTTGATAATGTTGGTGATCTATATGTACACATATTGGCTCATTCTAATGGGCGAAGCGTACATTATAGTCAATGATCACTATAATGATTACAAGAATTTATTTATTAAGACAACAAGACTTCATTCATGCCATGCTTATTTCTACATCTAAAACATATACCTGGAAGCGATTCGAGTTATTTGACACTATCATCCTATTTACAAACTGGTACAGAAGGAAATTACCTATATTACAGCGAAATTAAGCTATGCAAAATTAAATTGTAATATGACAGAATTTTAACTTTGTATTTTTTTAATATTAAGACTACCATACAGCAAACACTGCACACAATTATTATTTTTCAATCCACCATAAATTTGATTGATAACAAATAATGTCATGCAGTAAAAACTCTAGGAACATTCCGATTTAAAAATACAAAATGAATTGATTCATCAATAATCATTCAAACAATTATACAAGTTTAGTATTACCTACTGTTTGAGATTCAGAATCACATATCAAAAAATTATGATTTTGCAACCCATACTTGAGTTTTCCATAAAGAAAACAATTAATTCACTCACATTATTTCATGGTTTCCTCCAAAAACAATTCCAAAAACGATATAGATGTTGAAATTTACCCTTTTTTTAAATCTAGGCAAGATTTGTTTTCAAATACCCCGCAGAAAAATAATATATGATGTACTTTTCAAATACTTAGTTCATAAATCACAGTTACTCTTCAGCCCAAATTTGAAATTGTATACATGAACATGTATCACTAAAATTGCCCACAATTTTTTTTTCTCACTTGTTTCCAACTTAACTGCTGGCAGGCTATAAAGAAGAAATGATTACAAACATATGAAATGAGGAATGAAGGTTAAATGAGAATGATAAGAAAAAAAGAGAAGAACTTATCCCATACAGTCCTAACAATTTTCAAGATTTCACCCTTTTGGGCAATTTCAATTTCAATGTCTTAATTTTGTAAATTGCTCTGACTACTGCAACCATAAAAAATACACTTAATTTGGTATCACAATTGCAAGCAAGCACTGGCAACTTATTGAAATATTGTTGACCACAACACAGCAGTACGTGAAACTTAAATTAATATCATTTCTAACACTGAATACATAATGAATACAACACAAATTCATCAATAAGTACTTTAATCTAAAACTTGAATACTCTACACAGAATACAATATTACCCTGAAATAAAAAAAAAGGGGGGGGGTACTTACATATTAGGACATCCGGGGGGGGGGGTGCCGCTCTAATGGGTCACTTTTTCACAAAAAATCCCTAAACATGGGTCCCACTTTTAACAAAAATACCATTAAAAATGGATCTGTTTTTTTTCAAAATTAATAAAAAATGAAAAAACACACGAAACTTTTTGGAAAAAAGGGTCTTCGTTTGAGAAAAATGACCCCTTATAATGGGTAGGGGTTACGAGGTTCGAGCGGCACATCCAAATCCACGTCCAAACCAAACCGGAGTATCCCCCCAGGGTTTACACTTACAAAATTATCAAGCATCTGATATCATTATCTCCGGAGGCAAAATATGATTTGTTTGTTTGTTTGATTTGGATGCGAACATATTTTCAGATTCGTTCTTTAAATGATGGAATAGAATTTTAACTGACCCACACTTCGAAAAAATGATGTGGATATAATACTGATATTTGACGGCAATTTCCACCACATTACTTCATAGCCTATACATACATATGTACATGTAAGTGTATGAACACACTTTGACTGCACATACAGTACATACATTGTTACATCAAAAATGTTGCTTGTGTGCAAACAAAGACAAAAACAGTTAAAATATGTAAGGAAATTTGAAGCTATAATGAAAAAATTTGATTAAGGCACATTTGTTGCACAGGACCTAAAAGAATTTTTTTTTGACAAAGACAAATCAGTATATATGTAAACTTGCTCAACTTGTATGTAATTATACTTCAAAGTATCCAAGCATAATTACAATGATAATTCTGTGTCATTTTCAAAAAGAAATCATTCAGACTTAAACCAAACGTGATATAGACACAAAGTGAATGTATGAGTGTGGGGTACTTAACGATTAAGATCAAGTTTAAAATGGAGAAGAAACAAAGTAATTTTGATTTTAAAATTTAAAAAAATACATTTAAAAAAAAGATAAAACAAAATGTGCAAATGTACAATTTTAAGATCCATAAGATGTAAGAATATATGAAATGTGTGATGTACATGTACATACTGTATACCAAGCCTTTATCACCGGCCAGTACATAACTGGATTGGCTCATTTCTATGGTACTGTAGCGTCAAAGGGAAAATAAAGGGCACAGCCAGGGAAAATTGTAGGAAGAAAATTTAATTAACATGCCAATGGCCAAGCTTGGTGAATACAACTGCTAAGATAGTACTTCATTTCATTGCTTAAACTATCTAACTATACTTACAGCTAATAGAACATTTTTACACTTTCAGAAATCTTATTTCAGTGATTCTAAAAATCTACTTGTAATTTTTTTTAAGGGTCATGAAATATCAAAGAGAGTTTACATGTACACAAAACTTGTGTTTCTAACACTTGATTTGTGGATAATAAATAAGACTTAAAAGCCCAAGCATATCTACAATTTTCAATTTAAAAATGTTAACCTTGCAAATATTTACAAACAATATACATGTAAATCCTTATTGCAGAATTTAATTTCTTATCAAAGAACACACAATTTGAATCAGTAAAGATAAAGAAAACATGATGCCCATATGCATATAGCCATGAATATTCATCAGGGTTTCAGTGCTTTCAAGGAAAATATGATGATATACACGGGGAGAGGGGAAGGCGGATTCAAACTTAAATCCCTCATAAAATGATTAAATAGTTGTATCAAAATTTGATCCAGGATTTGTTTACAGAAGCTAATACAAAGAAATTCAGTTAAGTAGAATTTAAGCAACGTGTACTGACAGAATTTGAACCATATTTCTCTCCACTATATTTGACATTGTACACAAATCAATTTCAAATACAAACAAAAATAACACAACTTATCATAGAACTAAGTGGATTAATGCCCTTTTGGCTCTAAACAGACATGCTGTATACAGATCGGTAGGCATTCAGTCACACACTGTTACAACCATTAACTGTCAGTCATTTGTTAGCTGTAATTAACAAACAGTACTTACATTCACATGTATTTATTATTTATGAAATGCATGTGAATGAAGCTGAATAAGAAAAGATACTGTGCCTGTGTCATGTATGCTATACAGTACTGACAAATCAATCCTTCAGCTCGATTGCTTAAGGATCAATCTCCCTCTTCTTGCCAATGAAATAATAATTTGCAGAAAAAACATATCCTTATGACTTATGAGACATTATCACATAAAATTGTCTCCTAAAACTATACGAGTCATTTAAATAGTTAAGGATGAAAAAGAGGACAAAAAATTGTTTCCTATCAAGACCTGACGGAAGTTGACCTAGAGTTAAATTATGCACGGGTATGTGTGTACATTTGCGTCAAATTAGTCATCTCATAAGTTGCTTTTACTGTTATTCAGAGTGCATTTAAAATACCAATATTTTGTTAGGGAAAAAAGCTTTATATCTTTGATACAGAAAATACCAACATGGCACCCCCAACATACAGTGCAAAGTACATTTTGGGCGATTGTTCTCTCTAAAGACTTGTTGAAATACCACCCAATGCATATGATTAAGAATAGAATTGGTACCATACTCGACCTTTGTGATGGGGCTTTCATTTTGATTGAGAGTCTGAGACTGTGTTCTTACAAGGCTTACAAAGCATTCAATAGCGACTTATACACGCAAAGTCTCGTTCACATATATGGTGTGATAAAGCAAATGGAGCAAATTATATAGTGCATGCATTTCACATATATGTATCTCTATAATACACAGGTTAAAAAAGTGAGTATGTCTAGCACCTTCTTTAAAAATAAATAGTTATTACTTCATCCCTATCTGCAGGTCATTTACACATTAAAAAAAAAAGCCATATTCCATCAAATCAAATGTGAACATGCATTTACATGTACACACAGGTTGTGTGTAATAAACAATCAGAGAATTGTACGTGATGTTAGTATAGTTTATGACAGACAGCATGAAGTAGCTTGTGGGATGGTGATGTTTTCTTATCAATGACTGATAACTCAAGAATTTCACTTAGCCAATGTTGTCTGTTTGGAGCTAAAAGGGCGTTAACTCATACACTTTGACACCCTTCTGGCTCTGAACAGATAATATATCTATGATGTTATTGCTCGACTCTGGGAGTGTTTCACAAAGACTAAGATCAAATTTAAGTTGGACTTGACTATGGCAGGCCGTTCATGCCACTGTCTGCTCTCACCATTTACTGGCATCGGTTTCTCAAGGGACGTACAAATCATGGTCACAAATCTACAGAAGTTACAATTTTCTTCCTTCAATAATGAAAGAGAAAAAAATTATTATTAAAGGAAAAAATATAATCTACAGATCAGAGTGGTGAGAGCAACCAGTGGCATGGTTGATCTGCCATAGTTAAGTCCAACTTAAAGTTGATCTTAGTATTTGTGAAACATCCCCCTGATATGAAAATTCTATCAATAAATGATAACTTAAGAATTTAATGTGATCAAGATTGTTTATCATTGATGTCATTGTTTTTCAGATATGACGTGGGAATTCCATGTCTGTGACACGAGATGTAATTTGAAAGAAGAATGAAGGACTTTGGACTTTCATGACAAACACTTCATGGTAGATGTAACCTCAAAATAAATAATAAGCTGGTATTTCTGTGTTTTCATATGAATTTCATGAACCACTGAAAGGTGGCAAATTTGATACCATGCAAAGATATTATCACCCTGTTCTAAATTGCAGTTCTATATATGTATCACCCAAGTGTGTCGACTGTCGATGACTGCTGCAAGCACTTGCAATAGCTAATTATTTGGGGGACATGTAGGTTGTATAGATCAATGCCTGACTTTATACAAGTCTTGCTTATGGTTGTTTTGCACTGAGATGAATACAGAGCATCGTAACAGAACATGTGTGTGGCAACAGGTGATGTTAATAGTATCATGTGTGTAACCTGGATGTACCACAATAAAGGGAGGGCTTTACACAACAAATAATAATAATAAGCTAAAACAATGGATCGCAACGAGTGACCAATGATTAGTATAAGGCTCTGATAAACTCAAAGAGTAATTCTAAACCCATCGCATTCAATTGTAGCCTGTAACTATGATAACAAAGGCCCTTTTAAAATGAAATCAGGAGGCTGAGCAATTCTGATTATGAAAAGTTCTTAAGCGTTGATTCAAAGTCCCTCACATGGCAACTTTAGCCCATTGGATACAATTTGACTTAAAATATCGCAGTTCGAGTTATCTCAGTCTTTGTATTCAATAGGTTAATACCTTTTAGGAGAGGTTCCATGTCAGTATTAAAGCCCCACTGCACTACTTATATCTACTTGCGCCCTCTATGCAGTCAACAATGCCTAAGCAGTACCCCTTGATCCCCCATGATACCCTTTATCTTATGTTAACTTAGAACTGATTTGATGAGATAACCACCTGCCAGTGACCTTGCAGGGAGGTCTAATCCCTCCTGGCCAAACAAGTGCAGATAGGCTTTAAGAAGGGGCTACAGGGCCACAGCTCTGGATACAAGAAGAGGTCTTGAATTTTGTTTTAGGGTGGACAGGAATCACAGACGTCCATCTTGGTTTACTGATCTTGTAAAAAGTTCATCAGTTACCTCTCACGTCGCTACATGTATCACTCCATGGTGCCTCCGTTAGTATAAACCGTCTTCTCGCTGTAGTGGATCTCTTGCGTGTCCGGGGCGACGATGAATACGATGCCTGCCGCGACCTCCATGAAAAAGACGCCCAGGGCAAGACCCCATCCCCAGTGAAGGTCAAAGTTGGTCCTGCCAAGAACCACATCCCCAGCGAGGAACTTTGTCGGGAAGATGATGAGAGGAAGAAGCTGGCACATGGCTAGAGACAAAAAGAAATTTGAAATAGCATATCATTAAAAAAAGTTCAATTTACAATTAGACATTAAGCATCCTGAAGAAACATAACTGGACTTGTAAGTCCAAGGTACAGCCATACACATATTTGGTCTTTGTGTGCTCTATACATTACTCCATACAGTAACTCTTCTACAAGGATGTATTTATAAAAGTTTCCTTTCTCTCCCTTTCTCTTTTCCTTTCTCTCAATGCCCCCCCCCCTGCCCCTGCCTGCCCCCCCCCCCCCCCCCCATATCCACCAGTATCATCAGGGCATTCCTCTGAAAATGCAATCATAAAGGGTTTTAATTTTTAATTTTGATGAGTTCTGGTCAATGGTTATGTGAAAGAAACTGTCTCTAGAGAAGCAATTGGGAAAGATTAATTATGTTGTGCAAAACAATTTGTGTGTACTTTAATATTATCAAAAAGATATAACATTGATTCAATCTTAGCTGAAAGCCTCCACACAGAAATGTGTATTACATGTAGATGGGACAAAATACAAATAGACAAAATACAAAAAGTCAAAAATGCACATACATATACATCAATGGCATGACCATTCGGTCCAGATTTGTATATTTCTCATTATATTTTTAATATGAGGACATTAGAAGAACAATCCTTTTCAAGGGGCATTTCTCTCATGATAATCTTCCAAACTGAAATTAAAAAAAGATGAGAAAGCTCACAAATTATTTATCATCTTTACCAGAAGTCAACCTTCTCTTGAAGTGGACCCTGTTTCATGAGATTTGTTGGCAATAACAAATGCTACATTTCTATAACAAACTTGCTCTCAACCAATCAAATGCCACAATTTCAGCTATAAATAACAGTTATAGTAATGTGTTCTTGATAACAATTTTTATGAAACAGGGCCCTAGTATGGGATTAACTTACCAGCCAATAATGCTAGAACCCCAGCAACGATGAAGATTCTTGAGAATTGCTGACCCTTGACGAATGATATGATGGCAGCAAAGATAGCGATGATTAGAATAACAAGAGATACCAGGGCAAAAGCTCTCGCTGCTGTCAACCATGCTGTGTGAAAGAGTTAGAAAAATAGAGGGTTAATCATTTCAATCTAAATACTGAGCACACTTAGGTCTGTACAAATACAAAGATTGATAGTTAGTAGATACTTATGTAGATCTCTAACTATCAACATCTACCATCCTGAAAAATGAAATTTATTCATTTTCAAATCACATGACATTTGGGGAGTGTTTCACAAAGACCAAGATCAACTTTACATTGGACTTAACTATGACAGGCCATTCATGCCACAGGTTGCTCTCACTTTTGGTCTCTCAATTATGATCTTTGGATAATATTTTTTCCTTTAATAATGAACTATCAAAAAAATGTAAATTCTGTAGATTTGTGACCAAGATTTATACGTCTCTACAGAGACCAATACCAGTAAACGGTAAGAGCAAACAGTGGCATGAACGGCGTGCAATACGTAAGTCCAACTTAAATACGATCTTAGTCTTTGTGAAACACCCCCTTGGTGTCATAAAAAAGTTATGACCAATCCAATCTATCATCAACCTTTCAATCAATCAAATAGTAAACATGCGTTATGTACACAGTTGCGATTGATATACATGTGGAATAATGTAAATATTGTCCATGAATTCTTGATAGATTTGTCAAACATCACAAGCCTTCTTCCATATTAGTAGATGAATATTCACCAATTGATTGGAGAGTGTGTACTGTAAAGTGTAGAATGGTAACAGAATCCAGTGACAGGATTAATTATACTATTGGTCAGTTTACTCAGTTATGTTAAACTGGTAAACCACTTTATAAAACAGACAGGGATGCCAGTTAGAATTGATCAGAGGGCCTGAAAATCACGTAGAATGAGCTATTTAGTATACAAAAAACCTAAACTATGGCCTGAAAAAAAAATGCCAGGGTGTGAATTCAGGCTATTGCCTGAAAATTGACATCCCTGAACACAGTTATTAGTAGGGAAGATTAATTTACCTGAAGGTTCTGCTGAGTAGCACTGCATTGGTTCGGTGCCTGTCGTTGGTTGACCAGGGACGATGACTCTGGTGCCATTGTAACACTCCTGCCACAGCCCCTGCTTGAAGCTGGCAGACACCACCCAGGCGTTGTTCACGATGGACGCCACGCTCCCGATCGCAGCAAGGATGCACAGGACGAGCGCGGTGATCTTGAACGGCCTGAAGACCCTGGTGGTGACCGTGGTTTCCGTCTCCATCCTGTCAATTTCTCGGTAGTCCCCTATGATGATTGATGAACAAGGGTTACACGGTCCAGGCAGGCAAGCAAGAAGGATAGGTCACACAGTTAGGGAACGATTTGGGGGATAGTGATGGTGATTGTTTAATGTCTCATGAGAGGATGATCGCCAAATGCCACTGTGCGTGATCAACTAATGGACTAACAATGTGAGAGAATGAAATGAAAAAAAGAGAAGGGTGCACATGAAAATGAAAATAAGATCTAAACAAAGTACCGGTACACTAATTAAAGAATGACAATGAACAACCTTAGAAAAAAAAGTCAATGAACAGAGTAACAAAAAAAGAATGACAGAATCAGACAGACAGTAAACAAAGTTAAAAGGGCAGTGAACAAAGTAAATGAAGAAGAAAAAACACCTGGCCAGTGAAACAAAAATAAATTACCTGGTATATACATATACGTACAAGGATCATAAAACGGTCTATTTTACACAACTTGAAGGGCTCTTGCATGGTACAGTGTTGGTTTTTTTTTTCAACCTTATTAAAGTGACAAAATACAAACTTTAATTTTATAAAGTATGCCCCATACCAGACAGGTATTTTTAATGGAGACAGAGACATTCTGTTATCCATTGAAATGTCTGCACACTTTGATTTGTTTGTTCTTATTTCTTTAATTTTCAAGAACATATAATACATGTAACAACACATCAGAGTCGAACACATCATAGAGGTGCAATGTGACATAATTGAAGAGCAAATGTGACATACATTTATTAAGACAAATGCCCTGCATGAAGATTGCTTGCCTTAAAACTTCTGTTATATAAAGAGTACATAGTACTGTACATGTATCTATTTAAACAACTTTCCTAATTGTCTGAAAAGTGAAATCATTGTGAATTAGGATCAGAAAACTATTCATACTGTACATTTTATACAGTTACAGATCATGTAATTATGTATGATTGGGAGTCCTACATGTACAACAAACATTTGACTAGAAATTAACGAGTAGGAGGATATTTTTTTATTTTCCTCCTATGCTCAATATCAGTAATTCTAATTATTCCTGATACTCTAACTTCTAAGGAAGTGTAAGTGTGCCAAAACATTTTTGAACATTTTGGCAAGAACGATGTCATTAGAAAAAGAAAGGGCAGCTGTGTCATGTTGACAGTGCAACAAGGGTTCCCATTGTCTGTGAACATTTTAAAATAGGATTTCGACATTGAAAAAAAAGTTTAGGCTCATGAATAAAATTCGTAAAATTAGATTTTTCTCAATATTTTAGAGATCTACTCATGCATGCTTTACATAAGTACATAGAAATTATTTGTGTTTGTTGCATGATTTCTTTTATCAGAATTGTACAAGTATGTGTTTGTGCATACATACATACTGTAGGCACAAAGGAGTCAGACTCGGGTAGAGCCTACTAGACGCCAGATCATGGTAGATCTAGGGAGATGTGAGTTGGTCGAGCGGTACGTACACTCTGTCGACTCTCTTACTTTGCCTAAAAACATACTTTGACTAAGACGTTAGACTTAGAGTTAACGGACCTCAGTTCGACACCGAGTCACGTCTTTCCGATTTTGACATTAGAGGTAGGTCCCCAGACGTGAATCATATCTGATTTACACCCGTCTGTAATAAAGACCATCCTAGTAGTTTCCTTTATTTAGGCTATATTTGAGTCTTAATTGTTTAGGCTTTATCACAATGCCTTCGGCTTGGATCATTAATTATTCTTAATCTTCGATATGTTCAATTAACATCAAGAATCTTGGTTGTAGATCTAGGTCTACTTGTAGTACAGTGTTAACATGGTTAATATTAGATTCTAAGTCTACATGATCATGATGATCTAAGTTAGTAAGACTAAGAGTCTTACTAAAACTAAGAATTACAACTAGACCTAGACCCAAATGTAATGATCACAATGACAATGTCTTAATTAATGACTAACAAATTCATGACAATGTCCAACTTTAAAATTAAATATAGAGTCTAGCCCTAGATCTAGATCTAGATCTAGATCTAACTCAATATAATAATAACCATAACCATTTTTTTTAAATTATTTTAATTGGAATTGCAATGCCATGGCACTGTCCACTAATACGTCTGAACTGCAGACTTCAGCTCATTTCAAACTTCAATTTTTCAAGTTCAACTTCAAGTTCAAGTTCAACTTCACCCAATTCCAATCCATTCCCACATCACATTGACATGATTGAACAAATCACACACAAAATCAGATAATGAAAATAACCGGCCAATTAATTTCAATTCAATTCCGAACTGCAACTGGCAATGGCAACTAGCAACTCACCAAGTAAAATTTCCGATTAACAGTTTGCAGCACGTCTGTTGATTCTCATACTAGTTTAAAAATGATGCTCGTTTATAAGACCCAAACTATAGAAACATTATATTCTTTGCACATGCGAATAGAAAGGATGAGTAATCGTGAAGATATTTCAATGTTATGAGCGTAATGTATTCATAACGTAAAAACGGAAGCATTATCTGATTAACCTCAAGCCGAGTCGTTAGAAATAATAAACAGTTAAAAGATTAACGTAATGCAATGATAAATGTATGATTAAAACAAGAATTTTTATTTTTTTTTATATTCATTGAGCCTATTTAATAAATTTGAAGATATTTTATTTTGTATCTTTTAAACATAGTTCAGTATAAAATTTAAAAAATATATATATATAATGGTATTATGTCTGGAAACAGACTTTGGAGTGGGTGCGGTTTTTGACAGCTCTTTGTCGTAGAGGGCCTGCACAGCATTCCTCATGTTGTCTGCTACGTACGCTATGACTATTTTTGGTCCATATTCAAGATTATTCTCATTCTTTTCTTTGATATCGTCTTTCTATTCAACCCTGACCCTGTATAAATTATGTATGCCACATTAGGTTTTATAGAGGGCACGGGCCGAATTTGCCCTCCCTTAGGTCTGATAGAGCTTATGTATTTCGTTTAATATAATACAATGTAGAGTTGAATCTTAAAAATTGAAAAAAAACTTAAGGAAATAGACGCTACAGCAGCAGCTTCGTGCATGAAGATAAAATGTATCCTACTGAACACTAGTAGTCCTCTAAAACGTTTTGGAGAACTAAGGATTATCAGAACGCCCCTCCAACAAAACTGAGATATATGAGCTGATTCCAGATCCGACAGGGGCGTATACCCCACTATGCATCATTCAAGATGTATGTTTTTATTCATTCATTCGATCATAATTATATTAGGCCCTACCATGCACCTTTTTTTTTCTTGTTATTACTTTTCCGGTATACAACAGCTTCACGATCCCCACGTGCATTTTCGGACATTTAGCTTCACTTTTTAACAATAATAATAAGTTCACTTATATATATATATATATATATATATATATATATATATATCGCTTTTTCACGATTTAGCTACGTGGTATGAAAATGAAAAATTAGCTGAATACGTCTTCAGGTACTTCCATTCCATTCCATTTCCTTCTTATTTCATAATTGTAAAGGTCGACGACTATGATTGGTGTATAAATGGAGTAATTTTTTTAATCTTTATGATTATGGTTCTCCAATGGGCTCAGATCATAAATTAGGCGAACAAAATATAGTTTGCTGCTTTCACAATTGAACCATGACCAAGGAAAGAAAGAGAAGAGAAGAAAGAAAGAGAAAAAAAAAAGAAAAAGAGGAAGAAGAGGAGAGAAAGGAAAAAAGAAAGAAAAGAAAGAAAAGGAGAAAGAAAGAAAATGAGAAAAAAAAAACATAAGAAACGGGGGAAGAAAGAGAGGAGAGAGAGAGGGTGGTTAGAGGGGTGGAAGTAAGAGAGCAAAAGGAATGTTGGTGGAGTCGCCACGTCGAGGGAGCAAGAACGATACGCATAGATAATTATGTTGCTGTGTCGGGTCCGCTGTCACTGTGTCGGCATTCTTGCTCTATCTAGCTCGTGTACTATATCAATTTTTCCCTACGAACTGTGACTTTTTATTGGACAAAGAAACATTTTTGAAAATTCAGACAATTTCTCTGATAATTTAATGAAACGTCAAAGCTTGCGCGGGAGGGAGGGAAACTGAATTCAGACAAAGTGAGTAGAAATCAGAATAACGAATCGTCTTCTTTCTCTAATAATTTAATGAAACGTCATAGCTAGCTCTCGCGCTTGGCGCGGGAGGGCGAAAACTGAATTCAGACAAGGATTAAGAGTCGAAAACAGTAGGCCTACAACGAATCGTCTTCTTTCTCTAATAATTCAATGAAACGTCAAAGCTTCCGCGCTAAGCGCGGGATGGGCGAAAATGAATTCAGACAAGGATTAAGAGTCGAGAACGGTATACAATGAATCGTCTTCTTTCTCTAATAAATAAATGACACGTCATAGCTTCCGCGCTTCGCGCGGAAGAGGCGAAACAAGAATTAAGTGTCGAGAACGGTACAACGGATCGTCATCTTTCTCTAATAATTTAATGAAGTATCAAAGCTTCCGCGCGCGGGAGGGGGAAAACTGAAAAAATAAGTTAGTTAACAGGGTTGAATTTGAAGACATTGGGACATTGGCATTAATATATTTGACGGTAATTGGTGGCTCGTTTTGTAGGTAATCGGTGGCCTCTACACCCTCCGCCCTCCCCCACTGAAAAAAAAATCTAGCGACGCCCCTCATAACAACACAGTTTATACACTCGAGATATTTTTTAGTACAACTGGTGAAGTACCGAACCACCGTCTTTGTGCATCGGCGGTAATATTAAGCATACAACGTCTCGCGACGTGACAGATCACTTTTCTCTAACTTCTAACCAAACAGAAGGCCTCGTTTTTTTCCAGTTTCCGGTGGACATTGATGCGCCAAATGTGGTTCTCAAGTTGCAGAAGATCCCTACTCTTGGAGGGGGTAGGAGAAAGCAATTTGGCGTCATATTACTCCAGGAAGTACCTGAAAATGCGTCTAATGTGGTTCTAAAATTGCAAATGCTTCCTACTCTGAAACTGAAACTGAAATGAAACTTAAAAGCTTCCGCGCTTCGCGCGGGAGGGGAGAACCTGAATTCAGACGAAGATTAAGAGTCGAGAACTGTACAGCGAATCGTCTTGTTTCTCTTATGATTTAATGAAACGTAAAAGCTTTAGCGCTTCACGCGGGAGGGAGGGGAAACTAAATCCAGACGATGATTATTTTCGAGAACGGTACAACGAATCGTCTTCTTTCTCTAATGATTTTATAAAACGTAAAAGCTACCGCGCTTCGCGCGGGAGGAGGAGGGGGGGGGTAAACTAAGTTCAGACGAGGATTAAGAGACGAGAACTGAACAGTTAATCGTCTTGTTTCTCTAATGATTTAATGAAACTTAAAAGCTTCAGCGCTTCACGTGGGAGGGGGGTGGAAACTAAATCCAGACGATGATTATTTTCGAGAACGGTACAACGAATCGTCTTCTTTCTCTAATGAAACGTAAAAGCTTCCGCGCTTTGCGCGGGAGGGGGGGGGAACTAAATACGTCTTCTTTCCCTAATAATTTAATAAAACGTAAAAGCTACCGCGCTTCGCGCGGGAGGAGGAGGGGGGTAAACTAAGTTCAGACGAGGATTAAGAGACGAGAACTGAACAGTTAATCGTCTTGTTTCTCTAATGATTTAATGAAACTTAAAAGCTTCAGCGCTTCACGCGGGAGGGGGGTGGAAACTAAATCCAGACGATGATTATTTTCGAGAACGGTACAACGAATCGTCTTCTTTCTCTAATGAAACGTAAAAGCTTCCGCGCTTTGCGCGGGAGGGGGGGGGGAACTAAATACGTCTTCTTTCCCTAATAATTTAATGAAACTTAAAAGCTTCCGCGCTTCGCGCGGGAGAGGAGAACCTGAATTCAGACGAGGATTAAGAGTCGAGAGCTGTTCAGCGAATCGTCTTGTTTCTCTAATGATTTTATAAAACGTAAAAGCTTCCGCGCTTCGCGCGGGAGGAGGAGGGTGGGGGGAACTAAGTTCAGACGAGGATTAAGAGACGAGAACTGAACAGCTAATCGTCTTGTTTCTCCAATGATTTAATGAAACTTAAAAGCTTCCGCGCTTTGCGCGGGAGGGGGAAAACTGAATTCAGACGAGGATTAAGAGTCGAGAACTGTACAACAAAATGTCTTGTTTCTCTAATGATTTAATGAAACGTCAAAGTTTCCGCGTTTCGCGGAGGAGGGAGGGGAAAGTCGCCCCTCCCTGCACCCACCCCCCCCCCCCGCATTACGTCACTGCTGGTCACCATTACGTACCAATATTTGGATCGCATAATTTCAAATTTGGGCCTCCCCCTCTAAGAAATCCTGGATCCGCGCCTGGCCTCTAGACCCCACTTTGAAAAACGTTCAGCAGGGCCTGCATGTTAGAGTGCGGTGATGCGGATTACGCCGGTAAGAGGTAGGATGTTAGTAGAAGTAGGACGGACGGAGAGGTAGGATGGTAAAAGGTAGGGTGGTATATTATGATGGTAATATAGTAAGGATAAAGTAGTAGAGGTAGCTAGGATGGTAGTAGAGATAGGATGGTAGTCAGGCGCGGATCCAGGATATCTTAGGGGTGGGGGCCCAAATTTGAAATCAATTTGAAATTTGTTGTGCTGAAATTTGAACGGAAGGGGGGGGGGGGGTAGTGAGCACTAATTTTTTGGGGGGCCCTCGTAAATTTGAAAAATCGCACCCCCCCCCCCCCCAAAAAAAAGGTAAAATTAACGTGTTTTTACACGTTTTTTCATCAGGGCAGAGTCCTTAGAAGCTCAGGGATTTATACATCATGTCCAAGCTTCCGCGCTTCGATCGGGAGGGGGGCAAGGATTAAGAGTCGAGAATGGAACAACGAATCATCTTTTTTCTCTTCGCGCAAAAGGGGGAATACTGAATTCAAACAAGGATTAAGAGACGAGAATGGTACAACGATTCGTCTTCTTTCTTTAATTTAATGAAGCGTCAAAGCTTACGCGCTATGCGCGGGCGGCGAAAAACTGAATTCAGACAGATTAGAGAATGGTACAAAGAATCGTCTTCTTTCTCTAATAATTTAATGAAACGTCAAAGCTTCCGCGCTTTAAGCGGGGAGGGGGAACCTGAATTCAGAGGAGCATTAAGAGTCGAGAATGGAACAACGAATCATCTTCTTTCTCTAATAATTTCATTAAACTATGAAAGGTCTGAGCAACCGCGGGAAGGAAAAAAACGGGGAGGGGGAACTTAAATTCAGACAAGGATTATGACTAAAGAATGGTACAAAGAATCGTCTTCTTTCTCTAATAATTTAATGTAATGTCAAAGCTTCTGCGCTTCGCGTGGGGAAGGGGGGGGGGAACTGATTTCAGAGGAGCATTAAGAGTCGAGAATCGAACAACAATTCATCTTTTTCTCTAATAATTTAATTAAAATATGAAAGGCCAAAGCTTCCGGCGCGGGAGGGGGGGGGATGAATTCAGACGAGGAATTAAGGTCGAGAATGGTACAACAAATCGTCTTCTTTCTCTTATAAT